CTGGTTTTGAAACTTTTATCCGATCAGCATACGCCATTCATATCACCATTTGAAGGGCAACAAAAGTAGGCATCGCTTTTTTTGAAGTTTTTTCGTTCAGGAGATATTTGAGTTTTATTTAAAATTAGGTTGTTTTGCCTAAAATCGGGTGCTTGATTTGCCAATAACTCAGTCAGTTCTCATCAAAAAAGTATGAAACGTTGGATTTCTAGGTAAAAGATGATGACAAATTTGATGATAGTATTCTCAAGACTCTCAAAAGCTATCCAAAAAGTTTCTACAAAATCGGATCTCCAGAAAACTTTTTCAGAAACCTAATTTTTTTGACAATAGCTCCAATCGATGGAGAATTGAATTCTAAACAAAACTAGATCTTTTTGGAGGTTCCGAAGCTTTTCAAATAAGAGAAATCTACAAATAACTCGAAAAACGTTGTTTGATGAAAGTTTCCGAATTTAATTTTTGAGTTATTTGTAGATTTCTCTTGTTTAAAAAGCCTCGGAACCTCCAAAAAGATCTAGTTTTGTTTAGAATTCAATTCTCTTTTGAGAATTTCTCCATAAAAACTTGATCGAATTCGAATAAAAAGGTGATATTCGGAATCACCGCAGTCAGAAGTATCTGAATATGTACCTTTCAACCGAAAACTAAGATAGTGCTACGTTTTTGAATTGCGGGCACCTTACATAAAAAGCAAATTTTAAATCTTTATTCTTAATTCATTTCATTCAATTTTAGAGGATAAAATCTATTTCATTTTAAGTTACCTTTTTACTCTCGTTCTTTTCGTTTAATAAGTACTATGACAAAACGTAAATAGAAAACCAAAATGAAATATTTTTATCTTGTTCCTCTCTTGCGAAGTTCTTTATCTATATCTAATAATTTCATAGTTTCTAGCTTAGAGTCTCGACCACCTTTCTTTGTATGGATATGTATACAATTTCATGTTATTTGTCGGTCTACATACATTTTCATAACCATTTTATCACACGATGTCTGCGTTTCTCGATTTATTTTCTTGAAAACCAAAACAGTTCTGTTCGAAACGGCGAAACAACTTTCATCTTAATTAATAAACGAAAACAAAATGAAAGCCAAAATAGATGTTGTTACAATGGAGTTTCAATTAATAGCATTTGTATCCTTGAAGATATGTTTAGAATATATCAGAGCTGCTCTACTAAGATCGAGTAAAAATCCCATTTTAGAACTTTTAGTTAATAAATGTTATTCGACTGCGTGAGAGATATGGTACGATACAACCTATTATCAACTTTCAAGACGAATATCTCAGCTGAATGAAACTTAAAATAAAGATACATAAAAGAAGTATAATTTGTTCTGTGTTTTACTATGTTAAGAAAGGAATACATCAGTTTTCTTTCATCTGAATCCAAAGAAAGAAAAAAACAAGCTATTCGATATTTTGCTTTTCTTACGTCTAAGTGTAAGTACATTCGAAATTTTTGAAAGAGAAATGCGAAATGAGACACGCTTCGACATAAAAGTAGCAAAGAGTTTTTCTTACAGACGAAAAGAACACAAAACTTTTATACATGATGAAAAATGCACTGATACATTTACGTAGTTAGTTATACTATACATCTCTTCAAAGAATAACTCTTTGATATAACGAAATGTTCGACGGGTGTCTTAACTAAATACGACTAGTCATAGTAGATTTTATATATAAATAGACCTGCAGTCAGACGAAATTTTTAGCTAATATACGAAGTATATTCTATCTAAACATATTAAGAAGCATAATGTCCGCTGATAGCGTCGTTACCATTGGAAAAATGAAAGTAAGCAAAACTTTGCTATAACAGACTAAGGGTGCATAAAAATTCAGAACACATTCTGCGGGGATCGTTGATATTCCTTCATTCCGTTGTTCCAGGACTATTTCTTTATTCTACTACAACAAATAAAGGTCAAAGATAATTAACCGCTAGGTTATTCATACAACAAGTGTAAACAACATACTTTAATCAAAAGACAGCTTTCCTTTTACAGTTCATTATCCTCTCATACTATTTAGAATTTCCTGTAAGAAAAGGATTCTTATTCTTAGCAAAATACAATGGCATCATGATCATACCGAGATCTAATACCTTTTTCTAGGGAATCGAGTTAGAGCGCCTTTAATAATCGGAATCAGAATAGTTGATCATGTTGAACGGCACGTAAAGTCCAGTCTAAATACTTAGATTTTTTCAGGGTGAATAAAGGACTTATGCCCTATTTTTTCACACAACTTCACACTTCGCTATCTGTGGGTATGAAAGATGCTGCTTTCTTTGTGACCTTACATCTGTTTCGTTCTGATTTAGAGTTGTAAATACTTCTACAAATAGTCTCAGTATACTTTCGCGGACAATTGCCCTCTCTAGAAAATATCAAGCCCTGTAGTTGTTGTTCTGTAAGAATAAAGTTTGCAGCAGAGTTTGTCAAAAATGCAAAAGAAAGAACAATTCTTGATCAAAAAATTTCATGAGCAGTTTAAATGAAACAAAATACTACTGACATAAAAATTATGAAAGAAAGTACGCTTGTGTATGTACTGCTTTAAAAATGTATCGCCTCTCAAACTTTTTTTCCGACCTGCGGATGTCAGTATACGAATTATTTCTACATTAGAAAACTGGGCACTTTTCCACGGTGAATAGAATAACAAGAACTTGTACATCTGTGCATAAAGTTAAACGAATATGCCGACGCCATAAATTTTATAATTTGATTAACTTTGATTTTAACTTCTGCTCTGCTGTCACCATAATCCACGTAATTTCTGCCTAAATTGTCACCTCATTATTTCTATTTATTCTAGTCACCGTGGAAAAAGTGCCCAGTTCACTAATGAGCAGCTTTTATCAGACAAAAGCGTTTTTGCATAGACTTATAGAGGTGACATACATCTATCAAATGGGCAAAAGAATTCTGAAAATTCATCGTCATTATTGTGCAGCCGAGTTTTGCCAATTAGTCTTAACTGTCCGAAAATATCCTAATTGAAGTAATTCTGAACACTCCTAGTGTTACTGTGGAATAACTCTGAGTAGTAAAGTACGACCAGTAGTTCGAGTGGAGTACTCTTTTATCTGATGCGGTCGAACAAAAGGACTTATTTTTTTCTTGTCTTTAGCGTTAGATAATCTCCGTTATCAAACTAATTTTATCGTAAATTAAAATTCATGGCTGTCACGAGTTCAATTTTTTCTGTCCAACTGTCGATATATATGCATCACAAAAGTTGTCATTTTGTTAGATTCGTCTTTATTATACAGTGATGTATATGATGGTTTCCGTTGACTAGACTACGTTAATATTCTTCCCTTACATCTATAATAACTATTCATTTGTTCATTCACATTTCTTGCCGTCATTTTCGCCGTTCCGTCTTAACATATTATATAAAGACATTCTCTTATGATTATAAAGACGAATATCTTTATAATTTTGATCCGAATTAAAATTCTGAACACTGCTTCCGTATACACTTATGTGCTACCGTACTGGACAGGTAATCTTGAATTGTACACTTAAAAAATCAATTGCATTAGTTTTCTATTTATTGTTTTCTCTTTTACTGGATTTTTTACATCTAACAAACACAGTAATAGTCTATTATTCTTTTGCTTAAAGGTTGCTGGACCTAGAAGTGCTGTTTTTCTGGTGTTTCCGACCCATAATGGTAATCAAGGTATGAAGAAATGAAAAGTAACAGTTAAACATGAGTTAATTCAAATATTTTTCTTATTTGCGTCTATAGTGAATAGTGTGAAGTCTGCGCTATCTAATATCAAAAATGTAGAAATTCTCGATATAGTTGATATGCAGTATGATGACGGACAACTTGGTATTTGTGTCACGTAAGTGTTTTAGCTGTTGAGATGTTCATTTATATTGGATAGTGCTTTTATTTTTTCAGAATGGCTGGAAGTGATACAGCGCAACGAGTCGTTGATCTTTGCCGTAATTTGCAGTCGCCATGGAACATCACTCTTTGCTCGTTGCCACCGGAAGATCAATAGAAATGATATTGTTTCTTAGACATTCCAAGTATAAAACGATTTCTGTCATTCATCAATATTTATCAGGTTTTTTAACTGAACTGGCCTGTCACACTACTTCGACTTACATATTTAGACCGTAGAGCCAGCGAGGTGCCGTAGTGCAATAATTCTAAACTGTTTAAAAACTACAAATCAGCTGATTTTTGGTCACGTTATTGTCTTCCTTTCTCTGTTCTTGTAACAGCACGTCAAGCTAGTTAAACAGTTTCTCTAGACTGTACTATATATTATGAATCATTTTCTGTCATTTATTACAGATTATAAAATATTTTCTTTGCTGTACAAGAATGTGTTTATAAAAGAGGGAAGAACAGAAAATCAAGAGTATTGTTAAACATTCTATATTTCATAATTGTGCATATTTCGAGGTATAATTTTAAATAAAACTCAAATATCTCCTGAACGAAAAAAACTTCAAAAAAAGCGATGCCTACTTTTGTTGCCCTTCAAATGGTGATATGAATGGCGTATGCTGATCGGATAAAAGTTTCAAAACCAGGAAGGAGACAGGTTTGCGAGAGAGGTAGCTCTTT